AAGTAAAAATATCATGGGAAAAGCGGTCCAAAGTCTACCATCGTCCAATCCTAGTCCACCCCAAAAATTTAAAAAACAACCTCAAAACACCCCCTACAGCTGTCTTCCAGCTATCCACATCATCATAACCCCAACTGGCCTGGCTAGCCCCAAACAACATTCCCACTGGCCAATCACAAACCCCAATTTTCCCCAACCCACAAAATCCCCAAACTACCCCTCCTCCCCAAAAAAAATCCTCACCCGACGGTAACCGCCAGGTGTATATAGCATCCCTCATCGCTGTCACTCGTCGTACGTGCGAGACAGCTCACCCTGCACGCTTCTCCATGCAACCCCACCCCACCCACATATATACGACATTTAAACCCAATTTATCTCTCAGTTAGAGTTCCATCGGCGTTTTCTTCTCTGATTTGAGCGAGATGGATCCTTGCCCTTTCGTGCGTATTGCCATCGGAAACCTCGCCCTGAGGTTTTCCGAGGGAGCTCACCTGGGTTCCTTGTCGTATTACTGTAGGTTCAAGCTCAAGGGCTTCCCCGCCCAATTTTCCGACGTCCCCTTTATTGGCACGGGGAGCGACGCCGTCGAGAGCAGGATTCACGCCTGCTTCGCCTTGAAGAGGTCTGAATTGGAGAAATTGGCGGAAAAATCGTGCAAATTCTGTAGCCTGAGAGTGGAAGTCCGCCGGCGGAGCGGCGGCGGCGGTGGGTTTTGCGGGTTCGGCTTTGGCGGCGGAGGAGGTGGCAAGCTACTGGGCTGTGTTGTGATGCAGTTGGATTTAAAGAGTATTTTGGAGAATTTGCGGAGTAATTGTAGTCGGGCGTGCGTGGTTCAGAATGGGTGGGTTTCAGTCGGTGGGGCGGATGCGAAGTTGCACATGAACGTCCGGGCCGATCCCGACCCGAGATTTGTTTTCCGGTTTGACGGGGAGCCGGAGTGCAGCCCCCAGGTTTTTCAGGTGAATGGGAATGTGAAGCAGCCGGTTTTCACCTGCAAGTTCGGGTTCAGGAATTCTGGAGATAGGGTTTTGAGATCCAGGTGAATATCTTTTCTCTTCTTTTTGTTTTTTTGACTTATTTAAAAGATTATTTGGGGGTTATTGTTCAACTTCATTTGTAGTGCCTTGTATAAATTCTGAGTTGATCGATTGCTTGAAAAAAAAAACATAAGAAATTAAACAGTTAGTTAGATTCAGTCTAGATACTCTTAAATTTCTCTGTAGAATTCCGGATTTTGCCCAATAACAATTCACACCATTAGAGAACATATAACATCTGAAAAAAGATTCTGAACATATTTTCCCTTAGAAATTCAATTACTAATGTGCAACTTCCTTATCATCTAAAGTATATTCCTTAGTGACATATGCATTTGTTCTTGCAAATGGTCTAACAAACATTCTCGATTTTCCCCTCAGATCCGCCATATCGGAACCGAGCACCTCATCATCCAGCTGCTTCACCCCCGCGCTATCAAAATCAAAATCGATCGATCAACGGTCCACAAGAGAACGCAAAGGCTGGTCCATCACGATCCACGACCTTCAAGGCTCCCCTGTAGCAGCCGCTTCTATGGTCACCCCTTTCGTCCCATCTCCAGGCTCAAACCAGGTGAGCCGCTCCAGCCCAGGCGCCTGGCTCATCCTCCGACCCGGCCAAGCCACCTGGCGCCCCTGGGGCCGTCTCGAGGCATGGCGAGACGGGCCGCGCCTCGGTTACCGTTTCCACCTCGTCCCTGATGGAGGCGGTGTCGACACAATCCCGCTCGCCAGCTCGACAGTCGACGCGAAATCCGGCGGGAAGCTGAGCATCGATGTCACGACGGGTCACACGCCGCTGGCGAGCCCTAATAGTAGCTTTGATTTTGGGTCGGGTTCAGGTTCAGGTTCGGGGTCTGGTTCGGATTCTGGGTCTGGGTCGTGGGCTCATCTTTTGTATCGGGGGTTTGTGATGTCATCGACTGTGGGAAGGGAGGGAGGGCCGGAGGTGGAGGTTGGGGCCCCACACGTGACGTGTGCGGAGGATGCGGCTGTTTTTGTGGCGCTGGCGGCAGCTATGGATTTGAGTGTGGATGCGTGCAGGTCGTTTTCGGAGAGGCTGAGGAAGGAGCTGAGGCAGTCGGATCCTGAATAGTTTTGTTTTTTTTGGTCCGGGTCGGGTTGTTGGAATTTTGGATTTTGGTTTGGGTTTGGATTGTTTTTTTTATTTTTGTTTGAGTGTACAGTCATTGACAGCTATTTTAAGTATTGGATGATTTTTTTCGTTTCTTTCTTTGTTGGGGGTGGAAATGGAATAATAAATTTTTTATTGGTTTTCACTGGGAATCCTATGATGCGTGCGGTTGGGTGGGAAAGAGAGAAAAAATAATGGATTATGGGCTGGCATGGACAAGGACGGGGGGGTGATTGTGGTGTTAGAACTGTACATTTACACATTATTTTTGTCAAAGTTTGGGGAACTTAATCTTCAACAGTTTGTGCCTATCTGGAAATGGAATCTAGTTTAAATGTATGTGGATGTTTGTGGCAAAAGATGAGTTTGGTGTCATGTATGTGGGGCCCACTCACCGAATCAACACACAACTAAGTGTGTGTAGTTGTGTACGACCCAACCTGAATTCGGGATTCATGTTAAAGTTAAAAATAAAAAATTTAAAATATTGATTTTTCCTGTGCTGGCTCGGCTCGGACGTGGCCTGGCTTGCGGGGTGATATATATGTTCAAAATGGACGATTCTAATCCAGACCGAACCCGTGGTCAACGGGTCTAACCGAGCTAGATTCGAGCTGGATTCGGGCCTAGTGACTCGTGGCCATGTTTAAGTCGAAAAAAATGTATTTATTTTAACTACAAATATCGATAGGTATCCATCAAGTATTTAAAAACTTAGAATTCATATCATTCTCAAACTTTTTTATCTTTTTTTTTTAATGAGATTTCAGGTGTAAATTCAACATTTATAAGTTATGGAAAAATAAGTTTTTGGTAGAAAATTTGATTTAAATTCAATTTTTGCAACACATTGCATAACATTTTTGTTGATGAGAGCTTACCAAATGGACATTTTTTAAGATAAAAATATATAATTAAAAATATGTGATTGCCTAAAAAAAAATCAACATTAAAAAACATAACAATCCAACTAAATACTCTGTTTTATATCGCTAAATCGATTTACAATTAAGAGACCAAAAGAATAAATCATTAAAAATATTTTCAAAAACTTATCTAAGAATGAAAAATATAATAATTTTTAGTATATTTTTTAATAAATAAATATTATTATTAATTTAAATTAAAGCAACATAAAAACTAATATTGACATTGTTTGATAACAAAAAACTACAATATTTGATAATATCATAAATCTAATTTTTTGTTCATATAATATGATGAATCGATTCTCCTAAATGTACAATTTTTATACCAACCTGATAAAGTAAAAAATTTTGTTTCATGTATTGAAACAATGTCAATATTGTTCGAACATAAATATATACATATAAACTCAAAAGGATATGCTATTATGCCATTGTTTATTGTTTATGATGCTATATTTAACATTATGGGGCTATAGCACATAAACGATGTTATGTATGTAGTGTTGATATTTATTTTTTACCAAAAAAAAAATCTAATTAATTAAAATAGTATAAAACACAAATAAAATTCACTCTATCCCAAATCTAATACTAAAATTTAAATTGTATCTTAACGACATTCATTGATTTGTTCAAAGTTCAAACTATTAAAATATGACGTGATTTTGTAGAAATTTGCAAGATCTCTTAATCTACTAAATTAACTATTGACGAGGTCGGCAGTGCTTGATTGCAGTTAAAACCAACTTTGAGCTAAAGAATTATTAGATAAACATGAGTTGAGTATGAACCACTCCAATAAATAATTATATTTTGAACTATGATAGTAATATTTAATGGACATTTCAATAAAAAAAACAATGATATAGCTGCTGTCCAAAGCAAATATTTAGTTTGATTTTCATTAGATTTGAAGATTTGAATGATATTTGCAACTATTGAATTTATTAATAAAAAATGTATATTTCAACAAAAAGGTTTTACAACAGTGCATCATTAAAAAAAAATTGTAATTGAGAAATTTCAACCGGAATTCAAAAACAAATTTAATGAGAAAAAAATATTTCAATATTTATAATTTTCTCTTTGTTTGAATATTCAACTTGTGATTTTTTCATTGGGATGTAAAAAACTCCTAGTGTTATTTAAACTAATAAAGCAAGTCAACTCGGGCGTGGTCTTGGAAAGCCTAGACTGAATGTAGAAATAACTAATTAATATCCTTAGGCATTCATTAATTTTTGTATGTATTTATATGCTATTTATTTTTATTTTCATCTTTTTTTTTTCTATAGCGTTACAGGAATTGAAAGAGTGGTGCCTATGCCACCAAATTCCGACAATGGTGTGTAAATAACAATTGAAATAAAGATTATGATTTATTTTGAAAATAAGCTTGCTTTGTTTAGAAAAGGTAAGAAAATGAAAGAAGTCAAAAGATAAAAAATAAAATAAATAAACCCTATAAAAAAAACACTATCATTACATTAAATTGGCCGACTTGAAAATTTTTGGCTACTCCACTGCCTAGACATGTTTGAACAACATTTTTTGAAGAAAAAAAAAAAAGGAAAAAAGATCAATTCTTGAACTTGGTTTCTTGATTTACGAGAGGGATTGAAAACTCTAAATCGCAGCTCGAAATACTCGAGAAACNTGCCAGCCTATAACAATTCACATTTTCTCTCATCATGTTTTCTTATCATTTTTTGCCTCATTCAAAGTCTCACTCTACTTAAACTGGAAATTGCAATAATCATCTTACATAATTATAGTTTAAAGGAACTTTTAGGTATATAATAGGTATACAATAGGTATACATACTGTCATACCCCGCCTAATATGTCTACTTTGTAGATTAAATTACGCGTTTATGTTTTGTAGTTTTAACTCAAAAGTTAATTTATACCTGATAGGTTAATTGGTGTTAGAAAATAATTTAGAACTGATAATTGATACATTGTGGTAATATTGAAAAGTTAACTGAATGCATATTTGATAAAATTAATTGAAATAAAAATCTCAATTAACTATTTAGAAATGCTACATGGATAAGCATCAAAGATAAGTTCAGTCTTTTTTATAATAGCTCATCCAGTGTTTTGAGACCCGGACCGTCCCGGCGGGTCGACCCGGAGCCGGAACCGGTCCGGGTGGAGTATTTGGACCGGGCAACCAAGGACTCGGTCAAACCCGGCCGACCCGGCTCAGTTGACCCAGTCCATATATATTTTTATTTTTTATTTTTTATTTTTTTTTAAAATAAAAATATGTATATATGTTTATATGGTAAATATTTATCATGAGATACATATTATTAACACTTTAATATACAAATTTTATACACAAAACATTTAATTTTGTTACTTTTATATATATTTATATAACAAAAATACTCTATATATAATTTTAAAATTTTAATATTAATTATCCGGTTGAGCAATTGACCCGGTAACCCGACGGTTGAACCGGTGACCCGGTGACCCGAGAACTTGCCTGGGTCGATCACCGGGCCGAGTTTAAAAACTATGAGCTCATCCTGTCAAATTAGACTTATTTGAATATATAGACTTTATAAGCCAGCTTATGGTATTAGTTAAACACATTTCTAGAGAGAAAAAAGGGTTTTAGTATTTTACAACTCGAGTAGGTAACATTCATATAAAAAATATTAATCTGAAAAAAAAAGGAAAATATGGTGCAAGATTATATCTTTCACTAAATTATACAAACACATTTTTTTAACATAAATACATAATTTTTATAATATCATACTATAAAAACAATTATATAATATTTTATAATATAAATATACATTTTTGTTGTGAAATTATAACGAGTCGATATGTCCCACAATTAGGTCTTTGTAGCCGCACATAAAGGACCACCAAACCTAGAGCATCACCAATAAACCAGTGAATTGTAGTCTACGTGGCAGTTAAATAGAAGGTTTTCTCTCCACATGGACTGAATGGACTAAATCACTCTCCAATGATAATGTACAAACATCATGTGTTTTTTTTTTTTCATGAAATCATAATAGCACTCTTCGTCAATTTCATTCACAGTTTTAGAGTAAATTTTTTTCATGAAATCATAATAGCACTCTTCGTCAACTTCATTCACAGTTTTAGAGTAAATTTTTTTCATGAAATCATAATAGCACTCTTCGTCAATTTCATTCACACTTTTAGAGTAAACATAGACAAAGTACTTTTTTTCATGAAATCACAATAGCACTTTTCGTCAATTTCATTCACAGTTTCAGAGTAAACATAATTTATTGACAAAATATGTTTCTAAGAGTAATATTTATTTTTGTAAGAGCTTCTCTATCCTGTATTCATTCGTATTTTTGTTAAGAGAACAATTATGTCCTTATTTTTTTGTTGTATTAAATATGTTAATACATAATTTTGATAATATATATCCCATTAAATTTATAATATAATTTTATAAATGTATCAATTTTTTTTCCAAATTTAGTTAATATTTTTATAAATACTAGATACATGTTTAAACAGATAAAATAATCATTACATAAATATTATTTTATTTTTTAACTTTTATTTTTTGTTAATTGTATCATGATAATTTAAATATATATAAAATAATATATTTAAGACTTCTAGAAGTACTTTCACATGTAGAAAGACTTCTAGAATAATTCCACATCAGCAGAAATAGAAGTAAAAAAACAACTGTTGGAGACGTTTTTTATCAGATTATTACAATCCCACAATTGACAGACCGTTGGAGATGCTCCTA